AGTGCAGCTGCGACCCATTCACCGCACATAAGGCAATGATCCGGGAGGTGAGTGTACAATCTGTCTTTAATCAAGGGCTTCACCTTATAACGGCACTGTTCTGTTGGCGATCCCAAAAAATCAGAATAGAAGAAAGCAATACGTATTGTCGAATTTTTCCCGAGGTGAGGCCGTGAAATAGAGGCGAAGATGGTGCAGGGCACGCTTATCACGAGCGCGGTCCGGGGATCGCTTCCCCGGCTCCAACCCCGGCCAACCAAGCCCTCCACCCTGCGGAGACGATGAATTGGTACCAAATTCGCTCTGAAAGGATAAAAACACTGACTTGTACATCCGGCCAGGCCCCGCAAGTCATTGTATAGGCCACATCGCATTCAATAAGCCACTACGATTCTGAATCGAAGTACTACGCATGCTGCATCACAAAGCAGGATTAACCATGAGCAAAAACTCTATCTTTCATCCTCTGAAGGCCGTGGAATAGACGGCATGGGACGTAGACAATCATTAGCTAACTGATTTGGTGCCAAAGATGCCAAGTCGAACGCTAGCTTGGGATATTCTTTGCGCGCGCTCCGCTCTTCCACTATAAGCTACATTCTTCAAGTGAATTAGAAGAATGAAGGAGGTTATCTTGCCGAAAGATTTGTATACACTGTTACGCAAAATTGGAAGCGTTCTTGCTTTAGACAGGGAATGAAAAAAGGCAAGCTAACAACAGTTAAGAATCTGGATTACTATTACCGCTGGGTTGGAATCGTAGAGATAGAGATCGAGGTCCACGACTTGATCCGCGGTGGTATGAGCAGATACGGCGACAAGATCGAGGAAATTTGCATGGTGATCAGCGACGATATCACGTGGATCTTTCGGTGTCTCTGATTGGCTCTGAAACTGCAGAATAGGTTCGGATGAAAACAGAAATTTCGAAAGCACTTTTAAAGTCTTGTAATGTCTATGTAAACTATTCCTTTCCAAACTCGCCGACAATTCCTTCTTGTTGAGACCGGCAGACGTGAAGGTCTCGAGAATAGGGCGAAGGTGCGTCTCATTGTTACAATTGAAATTCTCTCGATCTTTTGTCAGATGAATTGCCAAGTTAGGAATAAACAAGATGGGATGTTCGATATTGATAAGCCGCCGAGCAAGGGTGTCTCCCTGAAATCACTACTGCTTGATTCTTTGAAGTGACCGAATCACAAAACTGTAGCTCCGTATGATGGGAAAATATGTGGCCACTGACCGCTCTGAGGACAACTTCTCCAGCGACTGAGAGATCTCGATCAAACCATGTCCTCCAGATGCCACCTCCATAAGTGGATACGCCAACCTTAGATTTTTCGTATTTTATGTAGCTTTCGAGAATAGGAAAAATGAGTGTGCATATTTCAGTTTAATTTCACCAAAAACATGGTTGGACAAGCATGAAAGTCTGTACGAAATCTATTAGAAGCATGTGCAACACACCTGGTTGAACTTCTCCGATTGTACTTTCGACACAGGTTTTACTCGAAGACATGGACTGTCGGTATGAGCTGCCACGATTGCAAATCCGTTACCTGGGGCATATGAACCACCAACGGCGAAGGCAATGATCGCCGAACGATTTCTTAAATACAGTCCATTTCAAGAAGAACAGGTATGCAGCGAGACACGTGGTGCAGTTGATGAAACCAGACTTAAAGGCAGTTGGCACGATAAATCCCCCAAGACGACTAGGATCAATACTCCTGGCAGGATAGAATTCTGCGACCCTGGGCAGGCGCTGCATAGCGGTTTCCCCGAGGAAGGTGCCCTTAAGCCGCGTTCATAGCTTGCGACCATGAAGAAATGCAGAAATGCGGAATGAAGAAGTGCGGAATCTGCAGAAATGACGAAAAGCAACCGATACGTATCGATTTTCCGCACTTTCGGCATTTCTGCAGATTCCGCACTTCTTCACTTTCGGCATTTCTGCATTTCTTCAGATCGATACGTATGTAATGCTTTTCGTCATTTCTGCACTTTCCGCACGTGCAGTTTCCGCATTTCTGCATTTCTTCAAGTCAATACATAGTCCTCATCATTGCGGACCGGTGGGGCGTGGCAGTGCGGCTGCGTTTGGTGCGGTTTGGCAAAGTCGTTCTGCACCAGTTTTTGAAGCGGGCAAGTGCATTACTGTATTATATCCTTCGTATTACTCGTTTTCTACCACTTTTTGTCGCATACGCGTTTCAACAAAAAGGCTGAGAACGGCTTCAACAGTGTGCGCACTCCTTCTGGCTGACACGCCCCACCGGTCCGCAATGATGAGGACTGTACTGCTTTTCGTCATTTCTGCAGATTCCGCACTTTCCGCACTTCTGCAGTTTCCGCATTTCTGCATTTCTTCACGGTCGCAGGCTATGAACGCGGCCTTATAAGGGCCCTATCAAGCCACAACTTTACGTCCCAAACGCCCCACGCCCGCCCGCCCACAAATGGACGACCGTTCCTGACGCTCGTATTCATTCATTTGCTAAGCAAATTATGAAGCGAAGGGATTGGTATGAAGCGGCCGTGATGCTGCATGCATACATGGGTGTACATATCGGTAGCGGTGATTGGTAAGATGCCTACGGGAAACTCGTCCGAAATCGATTTACAAGTCACTGAGAACGGAGGCTTTTTCTTCGCAGGATTTTGACCGTTTCACTCCGTTCTTTCGCCATTTCCCCACTATACAGCGCCCTACTAGCATTTTAGGCTAGGTAGGAAACCATCGTGCCAATTGCCTTTAAAGACTTATTCAGGAACGGGTCCAACGCGGGGGGAGGGAACGTCGACAGCATTATTGGTAGAAAAGGATTTCTTACACGTACCAGCCCGCTAGGAGTTATGGTCAAACCTCCATCAACGGCGCGTGTGCTCGCCGTGAAACCCTTCTCAAATGTCACATAGGAAAATTCAGATATTACATAACGAAAACTCTAGAAACGACAAAACCAGGACCAGTTGAAAATTTTGGTAGGAGCCGTGTGTAGTTCAACTCTACTATGTATACTTCACAAATGACACACTGGCAGAAACTTACTTTGTAACAAAATATTTTCCCATGGGTTTGACATCCCAACGGGCAGCTTCTGTCAGTTCTTCAAAACCTGCTTGAAGAAGACGTTCCTTGCATTCTTGCACAGCTAAAAATCGTAATTCCAACTAAATTTGTGTTGTCAACGATAACGAATCAAAGCGAAGCGCAGGACGGGAAACAGAGTGCTACTCACTATCATCCGCCATTGATGGAGGCCGTACAGTGACAAAAGGCGCCACGCTTATGACCGGGAAGGAAATTGGGATAGAGAGAAGTCAGATCTCGAATTCGCATGCGCCTAGACCGAACAAGCCTTACCTTGCTCCGCGGGGGTTAGATATTACAAGACTCGCTTGTGAAGATAAAAACACTTACTCGTACATCCGCTGACCCACGCAAATCAATGTAGGAAATCGCATTAAAATCTCACTACGCATTCTCCTTCAACTCTTCACCACCTACCATGGAATGGAGTCACTGCCTTGTTGACAAAATTGACGAATTCCTCTGCTTCTCGGCGAATCTCCGGACGAGCTGGAGCTGAAACGATTGTAGATGAGATTGCAAACTACTCAATTTAACTTTAGAATGCACTTACCCATAGGTGCAGTCTTCCCCTTTCCCAAGTAATTACCATCGCTCGCAAGTTCATCTGAAATGAAAGCAGAGATATCCGATCTAGGGCTGGTCTCGAGCTGAAAACGCCTCAAGGAAGGCCCTATTTTCTGCAGTTCACTTTCAGTATTGTTAAGCAAACGAAGAAACGAGAAGAGTGAAAACATTGATCGCGCAGATGAAGAGATCAGACAACAGCGGGCGAGATCTATACAACCACACCCTTACACCAGCGCGAAAAATCATTGTTTACGGAACGCAGTGGTCGCATGTTCATAGGCATCTATACTTGGTGCAGGTGTAGATTGGCAGCCATGGTGTACCCCAACTCACTTGCCCCTTTTTTGATTGGCGAAAGGAGACAACTGTCATTTGTTCAGTGGACATGGTTGCAATTGCACCTAAAGGGCGATACCTATCAAAAGCGCTGCACCTGCCGCGTACGAATGAATTATGCAGCCTAGCCTAGTCTGTCTCCAGCCTGAGGAGTTTCACTGTGGTGAAGAGCGGTTGGCTGTAGTGGCTCGCTAAAAGGTTAGCGACCCCGCCCACCTCGCTATCCGTCGCGTCTGTAGTTTTGCTTGTTGAAATGCTCTCTCGTTGCTCTTGTGAGGTCTCTCGCCCAAAAACTGAAGAACCTATCGCGCAGAATGTGCTTTAAGCGGTTGCGAACCAACGCTCCTTATCAACGGAACGACCCCAGCTGGCAAATAGGTAATCAAGGAGTGTGTTCAAGTTCGATGACCCGACTCTAAGGATTCCAAACGCAGGACAGTTTCAACATATGA